GTAATGTAATTAACTTGCAGACGGAGCCTAATCCTCAATACAAACAAGTTAACGCCTATGGACGGGCTTCAGACTTAAAATATAATAATGAATATTACGATTATATGAGCTACGAGTCTATCTCACTATATTGCACTATGTGTTTAAAACCTGGTAATTCAAACCTAAAAATCTTATGCGTTAAGTTGTGTTTTTGGTGGAAGTTGTACACTAATATTTAAGATCGTTGAAGCAATCCTGCTAGGACTTGATTAAGGCCTAATAATTGCTGTGTATCATGATTAGCCTATCATGTATAACAGTGTCAGACCATACGTGAATCACAATTAAGCCTTTTAATTGTTATGTCAAATTCCACTATCAAGGGAGAGAATGGATTAATCAATGTCAATATGCTCATACCATACTGTAGTCTCAATTTGTCAACCATTACAAATGTCCAATGGCCATTGTGTTGGCAGATGGGACACTTAATTGTAATGCCACTAATTATACTAATGTAAATGACATGCACAGACTTTATTTAACCTTCTATTCATGTTAGATTATTACTTATATTCACATATTTAGTAATGTTAATAGCTATATGTCCTCTAATTCTCGATTCGAAGAATTAATAACATTTGCCATCAATGTTTGTGGGAACATTAGGAGGTGAATCCGCAATGGTTCCGTAGTTTAGTCAGTGGGTTGTACAAACAAATTAGGCTATCTGTTGATATGTGCGGATCGTTTGTATGCAACCGTAATGTATGTACAAGATAATTAGGTTCGTAGCAACATTGATAGCCGCAACATCGTACAAGGTCATACTACGTCACAGAGGTCATACTACGTCACAGAGGTCATACTACGTCACAGAGATCATACTACGTCACAGAGGTCATACAACGCCACAGAGGTCATACTACGTCACAGAGGTCATACTACGTCACACATGTCACAGAGGTCACAGAGGTCTCACATTGAATCTGACTATAAGATTTTATCTTTGCTGCAATGGTCTGACTATAGTTTAATTATTAAAGCAATGTATTATAATAACTCCAATTGAGCGAATCCATTTAAAAGAAGAAACTGGTGACAAACATGTCTGTATGTTAGATGTTTAATCAACATATTATACCATACTAATAGTCCAGTCTACGTTTGATGTGGCATACACGTAGGAGGCTTCTGTAGATTTGGATGATCATTTCAGCTTAAATTCGACACTAAGCGCACGATTATACAGAGTTAAAGTGGTCTACTGGAACTATTTATTAAATTTCTTTTCACTCTTAGTCTTCTTAATTTATTCAAATACTCTAGTATCGTAGACCGATGTAGATAAATAGTGTTCAAAAGTAATTGTAATGAAACTATAAAATATTTACGAACATAAAAACAAAAGTTTTTGATGGATGTTTAGTCTTGTTAAACAAACAATTTATATAAACACGAAACCAAATTACATTGTTTTAACTTTGTTTTTAACATTTGTGTTTTAGCCTAGGCAAGAAAATATGACAGGGTAATGATTTACTTTTTATTTTTATAACTGTACCCTTATTCTTTCAATCGTATAAGCATTCACCTCTGTTTGCAATAGGTCAAGCCTAAACATGTTTTTATGATCAATATATTCAACAATATTCAAACAAAATTCTTATATCATCGTTATTTCAAGTTTTAAATTAGCAAAATATCCGCCGGGCTCAAGCTTTAAATAATTAAACCTACTGTCACTGGCATACAGTAATGAAATAGCATGTTGTACCTGCATATATCCTGGGAAACCTTATTTATATGCAAATCTTAAAATCCATTTGTAGCTATTCATTTTTACACGTAGATTATTGTTTAGGAAATAACCGTAATATGGCTTAGAAAGTGTAGATTTAGGTTTATTGCTTGAACCTTTTGTGTTTTTTATAAAAAAAAAATAGTTCAAAATATTTATACTGAAGTAAAAATACAGTTGAGGCTATCATATAAATATTGATAATATGAATAATTATTGATTTATTAAATTAAATACACAATGATAGCAAATAACTGTCATATTTTAAACCACTTTAGGTTAAAAACAAAATACGAGTATGTTTTTATTTTATTTATATTTTATCATAATTTTTTGAAGAGGTTGGCGGCCTCTTTTAACTTTGCATTTCCCCGTCCACATAGACTACAGATCTGTACGTGGAATGTATCCAGCAAAGCAAGGGGTGAGCCGGTACAGTACGAAGGTGAACTGTACTGATAAAATGCTTGTGGCAGTGACCAGGATCCGAACCCACGACAGCACTGCCTTGGGCCCGAGGTCCATGACGCTACCATCTGAGCCACCGACTTACCTGAGGTATTCTCTATTTAATAGCAACTAACAATATAAAAATAATAAAGCTATCTTATATATACTAAAAGACTTTTGCAAAAGTTATGACAGATAGCCTGGCCATACTACTGGACCGAATTACGCGCGGTTGGTACAATATGAAAGATATTTTTCTGTAGATGTGTATAATCCCCTTATAAATTAAAATAGGCTCAAAATGAGCACGGTAAATTAATTTGAAATAAAAATAATAACATGGGCTTTATGTGTTGCTATGCTGGTGACGAAATAAAAACAAAATATAAACAGAAAATCCAAAAATTTCCAATCCCATGTTTTATTTACAGTGTAAGGTGAAAATAAAGAAGTTGGCACAATACAAACTTTTGGTTTGTTTTCAACCACGGGGCGAGCTCTCGTAAAAATCTAACATATTTATGACCTGCTGAAGCATAATTGTCATTTTCTGGTTTTTACACAAAATAGATTAAATTTAAAGCAATACAGTACATTCACACCTCAGGATTTTATGTACAAGTAAAAGATTAAATTTTAAATTTTAGTCTGCTAACACATGCAATGCATCCCATAATTTGTCATCCATGAGATCAGAACCATGAATCAGTTAAGTAGCTTAAGTAAGTTAAATTGTTGAAATTATCGAAAAACTACTAAACAATATTCACTAAAACACAAGAAAGCAATTTACAAAGTGAATGTAATTAGGTGAGTTTACACGTAGGCAGTAAATTAGTCGGTTAAGATGGTTTGTAGGTTATCAGTAAATTATTGCAGAATACCTTCATGTATCCGTTAGAAATTACTGTAACTCGTTTTACCTGTAATAATATAATCCTTGTTTATTCAATTACTCTTCTTTTACTTATCTTTTATTGTGAAATTTGAGTGTACAATACATATTACTTTTTAAGCAATAGTTTAAAAGAGATAGTGTTCTTTAGAACGATAAATGATAAAAACTGGATCAAGATATTTATGGTCACATGTAATTGACAGAGAACAGCTGATTACACAAGCCCTAACAATCGATTAACATTATAATATCTCTATTGATTATTTTTATTCTGGTTAAACATTACAAAGCTACTAAATCTTCTCAGCATTGAACCTGTAGCCATTTCAAAATGTTAATTAGTAGGGTATCTACCCTAATGATACATTACTGTATATTACTTGATACTCACATATGAATACAGACCCAAAACAACATTAGTGGAGCGCTTTTGTTTTCAACATATGTAACAATAGGTTATTTTTGGTTTGTAACCACAGGATTGCACATATGCAACACCTTTCTTTAAATGTCATCCGAGGCTATTTTGTCAAATCTATTTTTGAGAATCAGAATAATACTTCCTACCTTATTCTACTTTCAATTAATAATTTTTGCCAGACCACACAATGTGATCCGGTATAAGAGCATTTACAGTAGAATAACCTCGTTTAAATGAACTACGCAAATTTCTGTTTGAACATCCACCACCTGTTGCATATCAGAACCTATGATGTCATACAATATCCGTATCCACTACGGCATCATCCAATTACTTATCCGGATCAGCACAATCTGGTGCTCACAGATAATCACCCACATTGACTAATGCCACTGTCACTAGTTACACGATGACTTGCTGCCAATTACGTCATTTATATAACTAATTAGAATGGTTGGATCTTACGTTATGCAAATGCTGTACAAACATAAAACATGAACAATTCACGAGCAAATTTTATTTAGATTTACTCCTCACAAATCTATATATTTAATTCCGTAAACGAATCGGTCCCCAAAATATATCTCGAGCTACGGAAAAGATAGCATGGCTGATGAGGATTCATTTTGAAGCCGAAGGTCCAAGGACGGTGGAAATAATTTCTGAAGTGTCCAAAATTACATCTGCTCTACCCCACAGGCCATCAAATATCCAGTCTTTTTCTAATGGAAGTACTGCTACAGTGTTTTAGAATGGTAATGCTTGGTTGAAATTTATCGTGAGGAAATGACCGCGACTACGAAGGTGAGTATTTAGGAATGGTGCACAACATAGGGAATGACCAAATTACAACGGAGGAGAAGGGCAACAATTGCTGCTATGGTTCTCTAGTGTAATTAAATTTCACAGTGCTTCAGTACTTCAATTATGGATTGGATAGTTTTGATGTTTGACTGACATTTATTATTGGTGTTATGTCCAAAATTTACAAACACTTTAACAGTCTATTGTTAAACTATATGCATCAATGGTAACAGGTCATATTAATAAGCGATTCTGCTGATGAAAAATCAGGAATCTATAAATATTTGTCGTTGCCTCATCATGAACACCTGTTGTTTACGTCAATTTATAAAATTCTTAAAAAAATTTTAAATTCTATAACATTAAATTCGTTTTTACTCAAAAGTAAAAGTCAAACGGCATGCACTCTTCAAAATAATTAATAACACCGAAAGTTACACTGGTATAGTTATGGGCACAAGTAATGCAGAATAAATAAGAAAATATTAATGTCAAAATTTGTTCACGTTACAATAGAATTCACTGGTCATAAATGGATTCCTCGAATGGAAATACGACCTAGTCATATGAATCTGCCGTTCTATTGGCCATTTACATATTTTGTTCAAGCAATATGCAATGCTGTTGAATGTGGATTTGTTCTACCTCAAAGGCTTTAGGCAGTCAATTGGAAAAACACAATAGTTTGTACATAAATAAATACAAAATATATTTTCTAGCTGCCGAGAATAAATATACTTATTTTAAATACATTCATATTTGTTTGGTTTGACTGCAAATACACACCTGTAAACAGCCTTTTAATGGAAACTATATCAATTCTTAGGATATACCGTTCATAAGTACATCGTCAGTAAAAAAAAACACTCTGATACTTTTGAGATACACTGCAACAAAAAATTAAAATTATGGGGCTTTAATCACTACTATGAAATAAAAATACTCTTATGTGAATTTATCAGCTTACGTACCAGCTTAAGACAACTTTTATGTTCTTCCCATTTGGTTCATCTATAGGTTACTTTTATTTTAACTATATTTTTGTCTTGCTAATTAACTTTCATAACAACTAAGAAAACAAAATGGTCCAATTATAGACAATAGCATCTCATCTGGTGTTATGAAAAATACTAAAACACAAATCATAAATTCCAGCTTAAACGAAAATAAAATATTTCATAGAAATTTGTGCGCCCTAAACTTTACCAATATGGACTACAAATAAAAAAAGGCATCAAATATTACAATGTGGTGAGAAGTCCACTTAGTTAATGTCAACCATAAAGTACCTTAGTAAGAATGTCATTTATCATTTAGAAAATAATCATATAGGGAATTTAAATTTAGACCTTCGTAAGTACAAAAATTCGAGTTCGTTTTTACAAAGAGAAGTCCGTTCTTTCTTGCGAATCTGCAGGCTGGTATTTCCCAATTTTCGCTCTTCTTTTGACAGCAATCACAACAATAAATACAGACACAAAGATTGTTGTGATGACGATATAAAATAATGTCATACTGCTTGAAGATGCCGTTACTGCTCCAGCTGTTACAGTTGCATTCTGGGAAGTCTCGCCAGCTGACTGTGTATATTCGTCTGTTACGTTCACAGCTGATTCGGCAAGGTCACGTGATCCATTTACAGATTCTCTGTTACCCTGTGATTCATTTGTGCTTGGAGTTTCAACTGTCTTTTGAGTGGTGATCTCTAGACCAGGGATTACTGTTGGCATACAAATGATGAGTGTTAAGGTAAATATTTAGAAAAGAGCAGTTGGCATTATAGTTATGATAATATTCGAAAGTTAGATTTTTTATTTGTATTTATTTTTGTTTTTTAAAGAGATCTTTAAGGAAGTAATTATTTTCATACAATTCGAATTTAACTTTGACAATTTCCAACAGACAGTTTTCCACAATTTGACAATTTGCTAGATATAAAAATCATTAAATATTTTTAAGTCGTGGTTAAGTGAATACAAAAGAAGTTCAAAGAAGAGAAGGTAAATCAGGATTCAGAATTATACCTAGATAATGATATATTACGTACCATTACACGTTTTGTTGTCCTCTGCTAAAATCATGTCATCTGGACACTGACATGCCACTTTCATCCATGAAGAAATGGTACAACTGTGTGAACATCCTGACAATCTACAGTGTGAACTGTTCAAAGGCTTCTGAGCATCTATATGGACGAGACTCCATTGGACAACGCCCTGAAAATGCAATTTGTGTAAAGTATACTTCATTTGAACATATCGTTCTTTATGTGCACACTAGACAAGTAAATGTATTGATTGGTTTAAACGAGTGGGATTGCGTCAAGTTAATATTTTCCACATCGAAGAAAATCATTTCTCATTGACTTGACAGTGTTTAAAATAAGTTCAGGTAAATAGCTTTTACTTAGTTTGTTGAAGTTTGATGTTTCTCAATGCATTATTGAATCAATAGATTTACAGAAACCGATTGACAACTAATTATATTGATATGTTTGTAAGATAACATTTAACATTTTATTTAACATATTAATTTAGAATTAAATCACAAAAGGAAATAAGGGAAACACTTGAATGTTTATTTAATGTTCCTAAAATTGAATTCTTTTTCTTCTATTTACTTTTCTCAGACGATTAATTAGGTTTTGGGACAAATTAATTAATTATTATTGTATAAATTGAGTTCTAACATATTTTAATCGCAAGTGAAGTATTTTCATATACCAAAAGGATCATGTTACTTATAAAGGAACCACAAAACTCTAATGTATTTTACATACTATTTTATATAAAGTTGAAATCGTAACATATTTTAAACAATTAGTCAAACTAAAAATACTTAGTTTAAAACGCAAAAACTAAGCGATTAGTGTTTAATATTGCCATGAGAATGTATTTGTTTACGTGGATTTACATCTTATAACTTTCCCAAGAGCATTTAGAGTTGTGTCTATATAAACCTTCTTATCCTAATTTTCTTGCGAGCCAATTTTTATTGTTACTATCATATTATTTTTTTATATTATATTATATTTGTTACTAAACTAATTAGATTTGTTTAGTTACATTTATAATTGTTTAAATATTGCCTATAAAAGTTTTGTGATACTTTGCTTATCAAGTATTCAACTTTTAAACCTTAAAGATCAAAAAATATTTTTTTTAAGTAACACAAAGAATAATGTGCAATGTAAATTTATAGCTAACTAAAACAACTATTTACCAATGGCACGAGCAACTTTTCCATTTTAACGTCGCCTTCACCAACAGCTTGCCATTCAGTGTCGTTGGAGTTAGTCAGCCAGTAGACAACTTTGTTGACTATCTTTGGCCCAAACTGCCACGCCGGGTCAGAACTTGTGTACAATTTCTTGTAGTCCGTTCCGTCGTAGTTTACACTGGCCAGGAACCTGTCGTTGCTGTTATTTAGTGATTTTCCGACAACATAGACGATCTTGCTATCGGTATCCAGAGTGATCTTGGATATGTCCTCAACACCATCGTCAAACTGGTAAATCATCGTCTCATTGCCACCTTCCAGGGTCGTGGTGGTCAACACGTTTGACTCCAGTACAAATAGTTTTCTGTGGAAAATGATGTTTATGAATACCAAATAGTTGAAAAATATTACAATCTTTTAACAATATGTTTCGATTTGATATATATTTTAAGTAAAAACAAACATACTGCTGGAACCTACTTCAAACTGAATCTTTATTGTATTGTTCTTTGTGGACACGATTTTTGAATTTGCACATTTATTGTAGTCTTCTTTAAGCACTATGTAAATATGAACTTGTATATAATTAATTTTGTTATTCTTTGAATTAAAAAGATTCCGAACTCATAAGCATAGTTTTATTGTAACCATAGTTTGAATTTTGTTGGTAAAGCATAGATTTTAATCTATGGTAAAAGCAAATTAACTTTTACTATTAAGTTCACATGTTACCGTATCAAATTCAAATCTAAATGAAATTGTCTCACAAACAAAACAAAACCTAAATGAAATTATTGTTCCATAATTTAGCAAAAAATATGTAAATGGAATTTTACAAATTTAATAAATCAAAATCTAAATACAATTTTTGGTTTGTAATGTCAATTTTAACATGCAGTAGCAGGTTTAAAACACACATTAAAACTAATACCACCTTATATTCGCACACTTTTACTATTATAACTTGTTAAAACACTCGATTTTACTGAGTTAATTATTTGCAAATATTATACCTATAAATAATTTAAAACACTAAACGATACGTTTTATCTTAGAAAAAATGCGTTGAATGACGGTTAGTTGTTAACACGCAACAACAGGTGTCGTTGTATCAGTGGTCTAATGAAATTACGAATTAACTGACGTATAAACAGCTGATCTTATTTGTTGTAAACTTGTTTTTAAGCATACACATATTATGTGCCTAATACAATCACAACTTTTTGTGTTGTTTGGTTGAAATATTGGAGTGAGGTAAAATAAAATGAGTCCCACAAAGTTAAATAAGGGCGGCTAAGCAAGTTAATGAATGAATAAGCTATAACGCGTCACATAATCAGTGCTTGAAAGCCCTGCTTAGTCAGTTAACTCTAGGAAAAGAACATTATTCCTAGAGTTCTTTTCTAGGGCTAATTAATTAATTTAATCGTGCTACTGCAAATATTTTCGATTAGACTTAGTAGTTTGATATTAGTTGTACAATAGCGTTGATTTGATAGTTTCACAAGTATTACAAATCTTTAAATGCCTAAATAGTGTTCTATAAAACTATAAGATTACAGAAAGACTCATAAGGCTAACTTAACTTAACAATTACTTTAGACAAAATGAACTTACTTTTCATACGGATCGACATCAATACTTTGTATAGGATTTGACTTTGTTAGAAGAGTTTTATTGTTTTTATCTTCCACATCCATGACATTGAGGGACGACTTTATTTGTTCGCGACTATTCGGCTCACACGTCCAATACAAATTGTCGTTGATCCAGTCTAATACCAAGTTGCTAGCCTTTAGACATTTGCCAAACTTAATTCGGAACGGCATGTAAGGATTGTCAGACTTGCATATTTTATAACATAACTTGCTCCTACGGCACCTAAAATAAACATAATCATTTTAAGATTCTCTCTGTTTTAAAATTGTAAAACAATTGTAAATAATAAATAAAAAGTGAGTCCTTGTAACAGGAAGATCTAGAATCGTAAGTACATGTTAAATTCCGAGAAGAACTTCAAGAATCGGAGATATATTTTGCTCCCCTGTAACTCATTAAATTAAACCCAATAAGTTATAGCAGGTCTGCAGGTCTGCTGAAACGGTGGTATTTTCCTTAAAATTTAGGATCGGGTCATCAGGGATTTGGTGTTCTCATAGTTCTTGAACATTTTGTTATCGGATTTGTTTGTAATGTAATAACATTACATTGTTCATTGTAGAAATCAATTACTAAAAAGTTCAATCGAAATATGTAGATTGAGAACAGAGAATTAGTGTAGAAAACGTGGTAAAGGCATATTTTTTTAGTTTTTCTTTACGTTAATAGGCTAGTTTGTCTTTGTTAAAATACGGAACTGTAAAGATACCTACTGAGTACAACTGAAAACCAAGCCCTGCATTTTTATATTGATTTGTTTCATTGAATTTACTTCTTCGACATTTGAATTTTTATAATAAATAAAAAGTAATAACTTACCATTCTTCCAAATTGTGGACATTACATGGCTCTGATTTGTCAACGATTTTAGTCCTGAAACAGAAGAAAATTATAAAGTTTTGTAAAGGATAAATTATATTTGGATTTGTGAGAAAATTGACGTTTTTTAATTAATTTAAAATGTTAATATAAATATAAATTAAAATATACTGCATAGTAAAATTAAAATATTAAGTATATTTCAGGCTAAAATAGCAATAATGTGTATTTAGCTAACACCGTACTCTTAATGTTTGTCAACCGATACGTGCAAAATTATAAAATAACGTACTAAACAAAATTAATCAAACCTTTCTCAGGGTTTTCCTTCATTTTGTTCAAAGCCAGACGTGAGTTAGCACACTCTTTAATAAAAAAAAAAACTTCTTGTTTACTATTTGGTTAGTTTATATACTCAGTTTCAGGATTATAGCATAATACGTACTAAATGCATGAAAATATTACCACTCGTGATTTTTTTACGCATACAGACATATAAAAATGTGTTGTTATTAATAAATCCAAAAAGGTCTATTCATAATACAAAAGACTATAGGTATTAGGAAGTGTATCTTTTACAAAGTTAAGTATATCCAAATTTGATTATTTTTTTAAATTATCTAGTTTATTGTTTTATTGTATATTCATCCTAGCAATACACTATGATCCATATATAAATCCCAAAGTACCGATGAGCTTTTGAGAAAACTACAAGTAACACACCTAAAAACCATGTACTTAAAATGTTCGTCATGACGAGAAACCTTGGGCAAAACTATCCATTATTTCATAAATTGCCCTTAATGGGTCGTAAGTCCTTTATTAAGTGAATTTCCATTTACCTAATGTTAAAATACCTCATCTGTACTTATTTGTTTGTTATTCTTTCAATTTATTACCTTATTAAAATCAGGTGTGATCATTTGTTTGTATTACTAGATTCTGTTTTGTATGTTTCAGCTTAACTTAACCAATCAATATTTTTATTAATACTTATGAAGTCAAACGGAGTGAAGCCCGTGGGTAACAGCATTGACTATTGGATACAGAAGGTTGTATTAACAGTCAAAGGTTACAGCTAGTTGAATAAAATGGCAACTCAATTGTTTGAATTTTATCAAAATATTCAATCAATGTACCTTAGTGTCAATAAAAATCCATTAAAAAATACCTGACTATTTTGTGATCGAATGGGTTTTGACTTTGGAAAATCCCGTAAACATTTTCAGTTTGTAAGCTGTAGGTAACAGTGTTGGCTCCTTTTTCGTATTCCAGAAGAGTTTTGACATTTTGACTGATCGGGTCCACAGCGTGTACGCCTCCTTGGTTTGCGATGAGCACTGTGTGGTGAGCTGCCACAGCTGAAAGTAATAGTGTTATAATGTTCTATCTATAGAAGATGAATACATTAATTTAATAAATTAAATCTTAATGTACCTTGATTTCGTTTAGTAATTTATAATACCTCCATTTTAGGGTGAATGATAATCGTTTCGGTGACTATGTCACCTTCTTCGGATCCTTATCAAAAATATTAATTATCAATAGTCTTTCATATTTAGGTCATCAAAACATTGAACACGCATACATGAACATTTATAAAGACATAAAAATGAATATTCAACTACTGTGGCCACCGGGTACATCCTGCTTGGTTTATATGTCCAGTCTCTATTTAAAAATCACTGTTTTTAATGTTTCGACGACCTCAATATTAGGGAAGATTGATATTTTTGACAAGGATCCAAAGAAGTCAACCTAGTCTCCGAAACTATCGTAATCTACCTATTTAACCCATCGCTAGCTATATTGTGCAAGCAAACATTTAAATTAAAATAAACTTTATACAATTCACTTCAGCCAATTATATAAAAAAAAAATATGTTACTCTAGTAATTAGGAGCAATTGACAACAATATTTTGATAGATCTAATTTATTTTTTATGATTTACCTCGTAGAAACTCCTCGGAAAAAATGCATGTGACAAAAATGTTTATATAGTTTTTTTTATTAAAATATTTTCATCTCTGAGATAAATAAGGGCCTAAGAAAGTCAGCTAAATTGCAATATAAAACAAAATAAACGTGATTGCAGTGTGAAATCGAACTATAAAACATTATCTTTTATTATTTGGTAAGCTACAATAAATACCTATTTAATAAAAATTTTCATAAATTACACTATGTACATTTCTGTGAATAGCTTTGTTTATAAATTTACCAAAAAACCTGCATAAACCGTGGGCTATACTAACCATTGAAAGTTAAATTCTTTGGACATGTTAGTATTTTAAGTGAATAATATACTAGGCCCTATACACATTTTATGTTTTATTAGTGTAAATTTTAAGATTACCGCCCTTCACAACGCCGTTATATTAACAACCTATTATTTTATACACCTTAATACAAGTACTTTTCTAACAGGAGCTTGCTGGATCAAGGCCAATGACACGTTAAAATTACCTGCGATCAGAGACACTTCCAGAAGAAACCGTCCTATGCACATGATTGGTCGGGGCTACACACTACACAGTTACTGGAGTTGTCTAGTCGCCGGTTCGATCCTTACTAACTCTCCATTACCGTATCAGTTAATGTGGACTGGAATGACTCACGGGCTGACTGGAAATGATGATAACGGGGGAAACTATGACCTCACTCATTTCGTGTTTCAAAATAGTTATCTAAATTACAATAATTTATTAGTTTCAATGCGTTTGGTAGTCTCTGGATTCCAGTTGGTTGAAATTTTAATTCATTACCGTAACTCATTTTCTATAAATTTGGTTACTCGTATATAAGTGTACACTGAAATAGCTGTAGATGTTTCCTAGTATATAAATGGAGGGGGATATAGATATACATTTGAAAATCGCATCTGGATAAAACTGTTGTCATTGAAATGGTGAAACATACGTGGAAACATAAAATTCCAATAGAAAGTATACAAATTAAATAAAATAATTTTCCAACTTTACTTTCTATGAGTTCTACTGTTTCTGCTGATGTTCTTATCCTTTTGAACTGATTCCACAAAAATACTTCTTAGAAAACTTGTACAAATTGCTTCTCACAAATCAATTTATACTTCGTGGATTTTTAAAACACTACCCAAATACTGTATGTTTCAAAACAAATATAGAATTTTTACTAAACTATTTCATCATTATTATGAATTATAGCTTGACACTTCTCAAGGAAAATAGTTAATATGGAAATACTAAATACATTTTTGTGTTATAAAACTGTAATGTATCTTTGTTTCAAGCTACTTTCAATGTTAAAAACCCCATGTAACGAGGACACAAAAGAGTATGTTTGGAACTTATAATTTTCTTGCCCACTTAACTATATTTTTCACCAACCAGAAGGTATTCAAATTAATACATCAAACTACGTTGCTAGTAAATATGCACGTACACACACACAAGCACAACAGCTTAAGGTCGATAATTAAGTATTAGAGTAAATGCGTATTGTTAAATGGTTGAAGACAAAATAGTGGAAATTTAAATAACGTAAAAATAGAAAGACTGTAAATTTTGAAAAAAAAACATCCGTCTATTGCATTTGTTTACACCCTGTATACAAGAAAGTGTCCGAATATAGTAAAAACTGCGGCATTTTATAAGCTATCCAACCATATGATACACTATTGGGCTTTATGTATGCTTAGGTAGGCTTTAGTGGATTGAAGACTACAAAACATGGTGTCTTTAACATTTAAAACACAGAAAGTTGGCATGTATTAAGTAGTGGTATTAAGCAAAAGTTGTATTATTGTTTCAGCTGGAACAGTAAAAACAGTAAAAAAGTTCCCTGCTTTCTGGTATTCAAACCACTAAAAGAAACAAAAGAATATCTAAACCTCAATAGTGTAGCATATGGTTGGAAATCTTACAAAATGGCGCAGTTTTTAACATATTCGGACACTTTCTTGTATACAGAGTGTGAACAAACGCAATAGACAATGTTTTTTTAGAAATGATTATCAAACATCTTAATTTTTATCTTTGAATCTATTTACAATGGAGTTTTTACAACTAATCCTCCGTCATTTTCTATTATTCGTATTCAAAATTTAATGTAGAACACGAAAATGACATTATCTACTCAAATCCATATACAGGTATTTGAGAAAGAGCTGTAGGCCTATTAAGTTCAAAAACATAGTTATTTTAAAAAAAAACATCAAATAATTTTTTAGGAAGCTAATTTTTAGACTTGGAATCTTTGATATGCATCATCACACTTCATTTACTTTGTACTTACACCAAAAACTGTTTGTCACACTGAGTACAAATCACCCTGTATTTAAATTTAATAAGTGTACAAATTAGCTTGTCCAAACTGGTTAAGGTCAAAAGAGTATTTAAAAACAAAAGATTTTATCCTTCTTAAAAATATTTGAATTTGTAATCTATAAGTAGCTAACAGAATAAAAAAAATTAACATTCAGTGATATCTAATAATGGGGATTCTCATTTATATTAAATATATGTATATACATGAGCCAGAAATTGTCTCCCAAACATTTGTTATCAAATTAGAGAGCTTTAGCCATATCGTGAATGATAAGATTTGTACCTGACTTTTTAGGGCAATGGTTATGTGAAATAGCCACCTAATTGGCTACAGAGGTGTGGTATATATTTTTCAGAGCAAATCTGTAGTAATAAGTATTTGGGCAAAACGTTAGTTAATAATGCTGATAAACTTAGATATTTTCTTAATCGCTACTTGTGAGAACCGGCTGGTCTTGTGATAGAGCTTGGGGCTTCGGAGCCCGAGGTCCCGGGTTCATATCCCGCTAATCATCAATGGACTTTATCAATGTGATAATGACGCAACCCCCTAAGACTAGCTTGAAGCAATGTGTATAACACTTCCAGGTAGAACCTAGCGTCCTAAGATGTGAAGGTGGGACTAAAAAAAGAAGAAAAAACGCTACAAGCCACTGTTACCGGAGCTCCGCAACAGGGGAAGAATACGGAAGAGATTATTGTGGTTCTAAACATCTGCCGAATGCAAAATTACAATAGTTACACATTCATTGTTCAACTCAAAAATAAAAATTAATTTTACAGCTTAGTTTGATGATGGTTATTTGTGTGCGCGAAGTGGCACTTTGCGCTCGCGTTACACATTATATTGTTTACACTTACTATACAGCATAGAAATAATTAGTTTTTCATACACTTAACAACACGTTTTTTAGGTTAAATGCAAGCTTTGGACGAAAATAAAACGTTAACACACAGGTTCAATACTCAATGGCTGTGAAACGCTGCACCAGCTGATCGTAGATGTAGTATCTATAAAGTTTTGCCAACTTATTTTTAAGCGTGCACATATTTTGTGCCTTATAAAAGCACCCGGTTTTGTGTCGTTCGGTCGAAATAATTGCGGTAAAGTAAAATGAGTGCGACAAAAGTAAGTAAATGCAGTAATTAGATACTCTGCATGCTATAATGAGTGCAAGAAAGCCTGCTTTGTCAGGTTACTGTAGCAAAAGAAAAATTATTTTCTTAAACTTCAGGTTAGGGATTTTTATTTTCCTATACAACTTGGCACAGGTGTAAAATTGGTTCTGATGCGTGTTTGAAAGTGCCTTAAATATGATTTAATGAGGACAGATACGTTACTTAAAAAGTATTTAATGTTACAATTCTAATAATATTTTATGTCAACACAAAAAAAATCCCTCAACATAAATCAATACATTCAGTTACTTGATAGAGATATCTTATAAGAGGCATGAGTTAACTCTTATCCTTCAATGTTAATCAAGCATGTTTGCTCGAAAATTGTAATACAAATTTTACGAAAACATACAAGTGAAATCCAACAAAACAAATGTAAAGTAACATTAATTAAACACAACCCTGATTTCCAAATAATACATAAACACCAACAATGTGAAACAAAACTATGCTGGTTTATAATAACTTGGTAATTCCAATAAACGTATTATTGGAATTACCATATTAGTAGTGGTAATTCCAATAATAAGTTTATTCTTAAGAATAACAAGGCAACTTTTAAGGCCAGTGGAGTGGATACCGAGGAAGGTTTCGAAATAAAAATAAGCCTATGTTCACTTTTGGTACCAAGGTGATTTTACTGCAAAATGTCCAGCTCAATCGGTCAAGTAGTTTTCGGTAGATTCACTCATGACTCTAACTTTCGCTTTAATGATATTAGCAAGGTAAGCTATTATAAACTGATCAATCGTCTACACATCTATCAGATGACCACCTTTCCTTAAATGCTTGTATTGATATTACAATATAATGTGAATACTGATAGAGGTCTGAGGTCAGAGCGATGCACAATCAGTTATGCAATGGTTTGTGACGTTTGCTTGCCCACACAAGTTCAATGACACCAGTATCATATATAATCATGCAGTGAATCATAGAGTACAATGACCCCTCATGATGACATCGTAGCGTAAGTAGTTTGGGATTTAAATAGAAGCCATATTTTAAAATTGTTCAACAGGTTTAATTTTGTTTTATCTAGTCAAATTGCAATTAGTTAGTTGACTAGTTTAGCTTTTTAGGTGCAGTCTTAAGTATTGAATATTTTGAAACTAGGACTAAAAGTGACGGTCTAACATTTGAAATCTAGTTTATAATATCTACACATAACCGTTATACCAATCGTAACTGTGTAAGAAATGAATAGCTTACTACAGGGCATTAACCCAGGAAGCTGGTATCTAATTAATAAATCAATGGCACTTTTAGTTATCTTCTGATTATAGAGGGCTATTTTAATTTAATGATTAAGTAAACAGAGATAGTAAAATACATAATGAGACAGTATCTCAAAAACATAATTTAGATTTAGATGGTTGAATAAAATTAAATATAACCTTAGAACGCTCAAAGTAAAGTATAAACAAAATAACATCGATGAAACAACCTCCCATAAAGAGTATACACTACTTATTTGCTCAAATCAAAAGTTTACTTTTTATATTGGTAACCAGGGTATAAATGAAGTATATTGTAGCTGTATAAATCCAACGCACTTTTTCCAGTTAACGTTAGTTACATGGAAGTTAAGGTTTTACTGATATAAAGATACGTGTTTTTTTTTTAATTTTCCAATGTTTTATTGTATACAATTGTGATACAATATTCTAGCTGAAACATCTAACTGAATAAGATGTATTTTCACTATGAACAAAATTCATCTTGAACATACTCATAGTAACTCTGCAAACAGATTAACGTGGAGGCTAGAAACATTCGTTGAAACTTTTATTCTGTATATGTAACAAGTTTTTTTCACTTAAAAAGCATTTTTATATTTACAGTTGGAGAAGCTATAACTTGATTATACAGGTAGCTTTAACCATAGACAAATAGAATAAATATAGACTGTCAAAGGAAGGTTCCGGCACCCACCGCTAGGAGTGCCGTGTAGTTACGGCTCACACCGCTGCAGGCGAGGAGCGCAGGAGCCGTATGCGACCAGCAGACGCTGCAGCGGTGTGCACCGTAGCTACACGGCACTCCTAGCGGTGGGTGCCGGAACCTTCCTTTG